TATATATCATGCTAAAGGTAAGATCCATATCCCGTCCCGCATCTTAGTCCTCGTGCTTTGAATGCTTTGAATCTGTTGTACAACTTCATTGAAATTTGGTCACATCTAATAGTAGCTTGATGCTTGGAATTGTGGGAAATGAAGTCTTCACATTGGACGTCTTGTCAAGCCATGTTTTGTGAAGTGTCAACGACATTCGTTGCACAGTCTCAGATATATAAACAAGTTCGACAACATACACGGGATTTAAGAGGATAATCTTTGCAACACTTCATTACGGTGGATAAGATCATGCAGTTTTGATTGCAGTTTTCATTGCATTTGTATGACTCTGGTGTCATCCCATATAATTCAAAATTATCTCCGCTTCTAGATCAAGGATTTAACCACAACATATTTGCCTCCCAAATCATCTGATTGAACTGATTCAGAAATCTTTGAAACTTTGAATGAAATTTCTTCCATATCTTCCACCGCCAGTTTCGACGGGGTATCAGAAGCCTTCTCTTTTGAATCCGGTTTCATTCCAAACCGGGAGAAAGGAGGAGATGTTGTTTTGACAATTCGCCGTTTCCCCAATCGTATTGCAACAAGTCAAACCCCTAATAATCCCAATACCACGGGCCAAGCAACGGTTTGTTCCCCACTACATGTGATACATATCCATTTACATACTCAGATATCTTCGGAAGCTTCCTTTTCGCTACAAAAATCCCAAACACATCTCATTCCGACGAAAAATTCGGAAGATCCAGAAGTTGTCGAACTTTGGTTCGGCTATGTATCATACTGAATGCTCTGACGAGTGCGATACGACAGCGAGATTTATCCACTCGATGATAGCAAATGATGATTTCATGATCATCCCATCTCCCTTCTCCAATCAGTCTCCATACTCTGCACAAAACAAACTCAACTTCTGCCCTGTCCGAGGAGGCTCATACCACTTACCATTAGCCAAAAACAGGTAACCTAGCAAGTTCAAACCCTGCATAAGCGCTCTTCCACGGGTCCGATCATCGGGTGTTTTCCTTTCGAATTCAGGGTTCTTTTCAGGGGTAACTTCATCTTGTCACCAACATTTATGGGTCTTTTTGACGCGCGCACCTTTCGCTGAGTGGAATATCGTCTAAAGATCATCTAAAATATATTGTTTTTGTGTATACTATGGAACATTTGCTTTGACTAGAAAAATCGACTGCAGGAGCAGTGCAGCAGATACGAAGTTTTGAGGATCCCCTTATTCCTTCGACAAATTCGAGAAGGGAAACAGGCTCGGCGGGAAAGGAGGTTGTTCACCGCTAGATGATGGAAATGCAGGTACAGATACTTTATGTGGATTGTACCTGCTTGTTCATGTACGGGTTATTCATGTCAAGTCGGAGGCATGATGCTATTGCGCGTCTTCTTCCATTCAATACTCTGCTTCAAACCCTTCGAGTACTTACTAGCTTCCTCGATTACAACCTCAAACGATAGCTTCCGCGCGCATATCGAAAGCAAAGACCTTTCCACCATTGCCCCTCAAATTTTAAAACCGCAACTCTGTGAATCTCCCAAATCTTCGAAGCCCTCCAACTGCCCGTCGATACTTGCGCTCAGGTACTAGAAAGCGCCATTGCTTACAGATTTCCAATTTCGTACTCTATCTCTTGCCTGCATCTACCTCGTCGACCCCTCAAATCTTCGTCCCTAGAACCTTGGCCCAAGCTATAAGGCACGATCTTGAGCAACATCCTTCGGCCGAATCTCCCGTCGTGCTTATCAACTACTCCAAAACATCCTACCTTGCGAATATGGAAGGGATCAAGCTTCTTCGGCTCTACTGCATCCTCTACTTCTCCATCTTCAAATTGATTGCGGCCTATCTACGGCCCGCACTTCGGTTGCACGAGCTCGAGTGCAAAAGATACGACCCTTTTCCCATTACCTCCACCTAAAATTTACCACTTCCCCTACCACTTTTCCATGGGGGCCACTACCAATTCCCATCAAGCTGCCAGCTTGCCTGGAAAACATTTCGCCTTGTAAAGTCCTTAAGGGATCATGCTTGCTCAACTTTTCACTTAGTTATATCTTCGTACACCCTCTTCCCCATTGAAATTACACATCAAGTCCGTTTACAGAACAGTTCAGGATTTTAGATCACGAGCGCGTATGAGGTCCTTGATCCTCCCGGGCCTGCAGCTGTCCACCTGTCTACCCATCTTTCAATCTCCCGCTCACTTAGCCCAGAGAACCGCTGCTCTGCGAGAACATCTGAAGGATCATGCCTGTTTTTTTCGTTCGTGTGTCCATATTTTCATACACATCTCCACCACAGAACGAATTCACGAAAGAACAGATCACAAATTTAACTTTCGCTTCTAGCGGACTCTAATTCCACGAATGCGCCACTCGCTCCAAAGGCGATTCCGCGAAAAGGTTCTTCCCTGATTACTGAACGCCTTGTGATGCGAAGCTGCGAATCCCGACATTTACACTTTAATGATCTTCAATGTACCCTCCCACTACGTATGACAAGTGAAATTTCATCAATTAGAGTTTTTTGGACCGGGGAAATACAATCTAGATCTGTTTTATTGTTTGGTATTGATAATGGCTTATTCACGACGAATGCTCAAATGAGGGAGTATCAAGCGAAACTTTCAGTGAGTACCGAATGCCGAATGTGATGAGCTGCAGAAGAATTGACATTACTCTGGAAAGAATTAGTGTCAACGTTCGATTGACGTGAACGTGAATGCCGAGCCAAGTTTTGGAGGAATGGATAATTAAATTGATATAAATTCCCAGGTCGGTGATTGGTTTCAACGTGAAATAGAATGAGCCCCTTCATTGAGGACCTTGTTGCCAAGGTGTCTTCACACATAATTTGCGTTACACTACTCGTACGATTACTTCAAAACTCTTCGAAAATATCCATGAGCGCATAAAGATGAAGAATCTTGTGTAACCTCATCCCAACTTCACCCCTCGATAATCCTTCTCCATCTACTCTTCCGCTACAAACTCTTCCCTGTATGTAGGTTCTTTTTCCATGAACCCTGCGGCGCTTCTCATTCCGCTACGGAGTACGACCTTTCCAAGTTCCCACCATAATAATCAGAGCCACCCCCACCCTATTGAACGAACATCCTAAATCTCTCCGAGAAACTAATGCAGTTAATTTACAAAAAACTTTGATGGTTATTAATCATTAAAACCAGGCAAACTATTCGAGCATTCGTCAATAACCCGAATCATATTCTTCGAGGATACTGGAGGGAGAGAGACGGTTTTGAGTCAGTGAACCTTTAGTTCCACAATCAGCTGTTGACTAGAAAAGGCGTTCTTGGACAAGGCTTGGGTTTGGTTAGATATTGGGCTGCCACGTTTTGAATCTCTGTGATGCGGCTGCAGCGCATATGTATTATGTGCAAAGCAGAAAGGGAAAAAAGAAAAAAGTCTAGGTATGTACCGGCATGTATGCACTCCAAACTGCACTCCAAGAAACGCAAGAAAAAAGAAATATATACTCACTTGCATCGATGACATTTAGGTCAGTAATACAAAACCTGTTACACCAGCGGCAAGACCACCCGTGTCAAGACGTGTACAGACTCCATACTAATCCTCCGTAATAACATGATATCTTTCTTCTTGTCACTCTTGTATCACAACCTGATAGTCCATCGGCCCGTCCGTTTGTGCGAAGTACATCAATGATTCACGGGTTTGTACATCAGGACTCTTGGCACCCCGGAATGTCCCTAGTTTTCGTGTAACATTACCCAAGTCAGGTTCAGCTCCGACTTCCGATTCTGAATATACGGGGAAAATGTTTTGCTTTTGTGCATGAAGGTGCGATTAGGTGATTGGCCTGGTCGAGAAAGATATTTAGGTAGTGTGTTGTGTTTTGAATTGAAACATGTGTAGGTGTGGAGGTGGAGGAGAGGAATGGGGCGGGGACGGGAAACTCAAAAACCTCAGGTTCTCGATCTGTTCGCGCTCGCCGAGTACATCTACCAGACCAGGCCGAATATGGACATGTTCATTGATTGATTCATTCGTTGACGAACAAGTTCCTCCTTAGCATATACACTAGCCTTACTTTTTCAGCTTTTATCACCAATCTAAAACGCATTCCTTCTGCACCCTGCTGAACCACGCAGTCGGTAACCTTTCAGCCATACAATTTGCTTCATAACCTTGTTCACCACGCTATCACTGTGCCGCAATCATGCATATTTCACGTTATATTATACTATATCGTACCTCAAGAGCCAATATTTCCATCTGACTAGCTGGTATGCTGGAATAACCATGGCTTGTGCGAGGTGAGCTACCCTGCGGCTGTCCGATAACATGGCATCTTGCATCTCATGTGCCAATCAATACATCCATCCCAAGTACGCATCGCATGTTTGCATGCGTTTCAAATCACATATTTTACCCACGTGGATAGCAGACTACATGCTTATGTCTATGCTTACACTCCAAGGGTTTCTATCCAATCTAAAGGTAATTTACCGATCTTTCGGAATATTTGGTCAGATCCCACTACTTTCCGTTTCCGTTGTCACTCCTTTCCGATACCGCTATTTTGGCGTGGCCTTCGTTAGTTTCAGGGTTAGGTATCTATCCTTAAAGTGACATATCATTAAACGTTGAAGATGGGGGCGACAGAGCAAAGGGTGGTATGAGAAACGCTGAGGCGTAATTAGCGGCGCTGGACTAGTATTCATCATCGTATTTTCACCAGTATAATTCATTCATTTTATCATTCGTCGCAATGCCACTTGGTGTTCTTGCTAGATATTATGTAGTTGCCTTGTTCCCGCGTTATAGTGTTATATCACATGGCTAAGTGGCTTGCTCGGCTGCTCACTAGCTATCTGCATGTATGCACGAGTCATAATGCCGGTCGGGATCTCCGTCTTCATCGGGAGCTTGCTTATTTATATATAATGACTGGGCCGAAGGACGAAAGGAAATTGCTTATCTGAGTAGATATGCGGCTACAGGATGAAAGCATGAGCCGTGGTCTCTATGATCTGACGACATCGCTCAGAGCGTCTGATAGAAAGTGGGCAATCTAGGGTCCAAGACTTAGGTGAATGAGTAGTATCATGGCTGAGCTTCTTGGAGAACTTGAATGGAAACGGTGCGGGGTCACCGAGTACATTTTCTGGTACCTTATTACGTACAGATTGTTTGATGTCTTGATCGACATTCTCTACATTTGCGAGGGTGAATGAGAAGGAGAAGAGAAGACCGAGTTTCCGGTACAATGACGAGCGAATACTGACTTAATTCGACTGTTCAACAGCCATTATGCCTATAACAACGACTCATGAATGAGCCTTAGAAGATCAGAAACACTAAATGATCGCAAGCATCGCATTGATTGTCTAAGCATTCTAGCCCTTCACGATCTACGATTGCGCAAGCTTTGAGTCCTTCTGAATAGTCTGCTAGGCTCCCGAGGAGAATTTGCGATTTTTTGACATCGATACTACTATCGTCTGGGACTGATCCATCCACTGTCTTTCTCATTACTGTCATATGTTTCCGTTCATCATTTCGCATTCTCATCCCAGGGAATAGTAGTTTAGACCACTCTACTGGTACGCGATTGAAGAATTGAACGTCATAGAACATCGCACGAACACGTTTTTATGATTAGTATCACTGACATGAATCATTGTCATCTAGTTCCTTTTCTTATTGCTCATTATTGCTTCACTAGAACTGAGTTAAAGCTTTTCTTCGGCGACGTCGCGTAGTATCGGCGGCTGACAATGATCAGCTTTGGGTAGGGGCAACCAGGTAGATATTGCCGCTCCAATTCAACGACAATGATTTTCTTCGGATTGAACCTTCCATGAGCTATACAAAGAAGCATATTTATTTTCAGGGAATACTCCAGACACGGTTTTGCCATTATATTAAGTGGTCTTTGATGTGGTAGAACCTGTCAAGGATCGCAGAATAGACATAACAATAGTGTGAACCTCACGTGAAGAAGTCTGCAAACTGACGGTTTCATTGATCTTACTCCTTTTAGAGATCAGGCTGGTGGGATTTGATTCCGAAAGGAATGTAGTTTTATGGATATTGATTTAAATTTGAGAGGTCTGAGAAGGAGAACTTTATATAATTCTTTTATATGCGCTAGATTGAATTTGATAGAAGGTCTAAGAAGCAAGTTTATTGAACCAACTGGAGTTCCACTAATGAAGTTCGGCTACTGGATTGAGAGCAATCGTTATGCAAAAGAAAAGGCTAGTGTTTATGTTCTCCAACTTAGATTTTGACGCTAATTAATAATTTAGCCATCCTTTCATCTAGTCTGACTGTGATCTATTTAGTGTATAATTCAATACTGCTGTCTTACTATTCTGAAGCGAAATTTTCGCTTCATAGCCATTCGGACTGAGGCCAAATGCAGTAGTGAGCCATGTAAAATTTTGTAAATACATGTAGCCGATGTATTATATACACCTAAATCCTTGGCTTCTAATATAAATAACATCATGTCAACAGTTTATAGGGTCATGAAAGATCAACCGTTTTGAAAGTTACAACTACCAAGGAACAGGAAGAAGAGGCAATCACAGAATTATGCATGTTGAGAAGCCAGCATACTTGACTTGTAGATTCAGAGCATGGAATATCTGAAAGATCCCACTTTCCATTCTATTGACCCTCGAATTGATCAATGAAGATGGTATTTTCTATCATCTTTTTGATTCAACTCGTCAAGGGTAATTTGCTCCTCTCAAGACTAAAGTTTATGCATTTACTGTTGTGGCTCACAGCCACAAAGTAAAGCACAATCACATCACCTGACTGAAGTTAATCAATGCAGTCTTTTTTATCACCTCAGAATCATCCATGATCATGAATGAATCCGAAGCTACTTGGAGAGGAGAATCTATAAGCTTCTGGCATGAAAATTGGCACAAAGAGGTAAGTTCAATCGATCACATTTTTCTCACGAATATAGAACCTGCGAGGAATCATTCGCTGGCAGCTCAAAGCGTCAGAACTCGAGCTTTCAGTAGGTATGTATGTATTATATATACCATAATAGTATCTGTTAAGATATCGAAATCATCAAGCTAATTCGCTTTTTCCCCGCAGATTTTCAGTTTTCATGATGACCCAACACGATTGGATTACATAGCTAACATCCAGACCACTTTGTGTCATCAGCATTTCGAAAAGATATCACAATTCACTGGATCACTTGTGTATTTCAACTGAGGACATAAATCGATATTGATATTGATTCATTTAATATCACTAAGTAGCTTTCCACAAGCCACAATTATGCGTTACTTGATACCCTGTTCCCAATGATAAGTTTTTCCGACCCAAATGCCCAAACACCAAAGACTTTCCGGGGTATTATAAACTCCGATAAAAAACATGGGGTATCAAAAATTCTAACCAAAAGCTACTACTAAAAGGAACTATCAACTTGCTATACCAAAATTCGCCATCCATACCTTTCAGAGCCCGCACATCCTCTTTGCTGCAGTACTCTCCCTGGCAAAAAGATATTCTGTTCCTAATCCATTCCACGGTCCCTCTAGCTCAGCCCGGTGATGCAGGACCAGAATGCTGCCCATTGAATAGATCACCTTAAGGCAGACCGTAGTAAGGTGGCCGAGAACTTTGAGCTGCACCATGCTGTTGGGCCCCCAAGAAAGACCTTGCATAGGGGCCGAGTAGAGGCCACCTTGAGGATGGTTCTGCACGAACCTTCGGGGATCGCCTCCCACGTTTCCATGGTGGACGGGTCTTGGTATTTGAGAGCCACCAAGAGTATTTGATTGATGGCCCATCTCAATATTCCCACTGGCACTGCCAACCATGGGCTGTTGAGTGCTAGTATATTGCCTTGCGCTGTTGTTCATCGCAGGTTGTGGCACGTTCACTACAGACTGTGTTAAGCTCCTCTGATTGCCTCGAGGAACTCTGCGTGGTGCATCTTGACCCACAATTCTGGGTTTTCTCCGACGGTCATCAACTGCTGGCTGATAAATGCCAGTGCCAAAATCACCAGCGATACCATAAGCTGGGATCTGAGCGTTGGCGCCGGCATGGCTATTGCGGCCTCCATTTATATCTTGATGGATGCCGCTATTGTTGTAACCATTGTTGTGAGTGCTGACTGGCAGTCGTGATTGAGCGTACAGATTTCCCCGGTCTCGGTTTGCCATAGAGACATGACTAGGCTGGCTAATTACTGGAGGCTGTCTGGTATTGACTAGTGGTTGACCACTACTATTGGCCAAGCCACGAACGTTACCACTCATCGGTAACTGTTGGGCGCGACCAACATTCCTCGATGGCTGGGCAGTGTTACCATTCCCTACAACTCTAAGGCCATCTGCGTTGTGGCTAGCAGTAGGGCGGAATAATAATGAACCTTGCTGACGATAACTGCTCCCCATGGCATAGAAAGGATCAAAATTAGGTCTGGGTGGATCCTGGCGCATTCCCAAGCCATCTGGTGCTCTGATTTGTTGTCGAGCGCGATTAACAGCAACGGCTGGTGCGTTCATTCCACCCATTCTGCTAACAGCAGGAATCGGATGTTCCCGATTGGTTGCAAACCTAGCCTGGGATTGACTGTGCATTTGGTTGTAAACAGGATGGCGGCTTACATCCTGTCCCACCAGAACACCCACCAGACCGCCTTTCGACAAGTCATTGACATTGCTATGTTTGACCTTGCGAGTCTTACACAGCTCCCTTAATTCTGGCACTCGCAGCTTCAGATATTCAGACTGTCTTTCTGAGACGTACTTTTGAAACCCGTCCATTCTTGAATGGTTATTTGTAGGCTCAACATGTTGTCCTGAAGATATGGCAAGTTTCGGTCGCTTGGCCGTTGGAACCGTTTCCTGCACCACAGAATCAAGACCCGCCCACTGTTCAGTATCCATCTTTCTCTTGAAAGACTGTGACATTGACTGGTGGATCTGTGGGAGCGAGATACCAGGCCTACCCTGGGATACAGAGCCCTGAAGTGCTCCATCGTTGGGAGGAAGATGCGATACATCAGCCGATACTTGCGGATTATCAGGCTTAATAGAACGTATCTGCGAACTACGTTCTCCGTATTGTTCACCAAGTGATGGTGCCATTTGCGTTGGTTCCTGAGCGAGTCTCAATCGCTTTGCCTCTGGTTCCGTGTCGGATTCATCGGATTCTGAGATTTCACCACGTTCTTGTCTCTTCCTCCTCAAGCTCTCTTTGAACGCTTCCGGTCGTTTATGGGCATTCCGCTTGGGTTCGAAAAGCTTTTCGCCATTGGCAGCACGGATTCTAGGAAGTATCAGTTAGCAATAAATTCATCAAGGCTCAAATAAATCTTTCGAGGAAACTTACCGATTGAGATGTTGCACCTGGCTCCAGGTGCAAATTATCGACTTCCGGATGGTCGGTCTCTGAGGAGGAATTCCTCCCCTGGCAACTATTGCCGCGTCTGCTGCCTGTTCATTCTGGATGGCGACTTCGAAACATCCACGTGTTTGTTCTTGTGGAAATATTTGCTTGAATTCGCCGTACGTCATTAAGACTCGAGGGTCAGCATACTCGGCACATTCATGACTAGTACGCTTCTTGGGACGACTATTGTCCAGTCCTGAGGAACTGCTACCTCCTATTTCTGCAGAGGTGTCTTGACCCATGTCATCGCCTAGACCATACCCGCTTCCTTGTTCATAGTTGCCAGTCTGAATTGGCTGAGGTATAGGGTGATAGTCATGTGCATCGGTCTGTCCCATGGCATATGGATACGCAACTGTGCCTACAACATGCACACTAGGCATTTGCACTGGATGGCTATTGTAGCTGAAGACTAATGGATCTTTTCCATACAGCGAGAAGTCCTCCATTGCAGGACGAGGAGGAACCCCATACTGAGGAGCTACAGGTAATACAATGTCCAGAGCCGCGGAAGTATGAGACTGATTAGCCTGTAGTTGCAGAGCTGGGCCTGCATCATTCATAACCGGCGGAAAGCTCAGTTCGTCGCGAGAATTTGGCAACGGGTCATCGCCATATATGAATTCCAATTCATTGCCAAAGGCAGGGATCTGGGAGTTCTGGTAAGTACGAGTAGATTCTTGACCATTAGCATGATCGAAAGTTGGATTGTCCTGAACGGTACCCGCCGCAGACAAGGATCCTTGAGTATCAGACGTGAGGTCGATAGCGTCTGGGATTTTCGGAGCTGGTTGAGCAACATTCTGATTATCAGGATTGACTTTCTTGGTCTCCTCAACAGATTGCGGCTCCTCTTCGACAGTTATCGGGTTATTCGCCGAGTTATTAGGCTTCTGATATCTGCTGCCAGCTACAGGTTTGCCAAAACTGGTGTATTTACCAAAGGCCCATCGAGGTAAACGAGTAATTCTCTCAGCGGCATCATCAGTTCCAGAAGACGAGCTTGGTGCAACTTCTGGCAACTTAGAAGGAGCTGGTCCAGAGAGTTGAGTAAGGATTTTGCCTGCTTGTCCCCTGCCTTTTGGTCGGCTCATGTCCGATCTCGGAATCCTGCTAGTTCTAACCCTGCGGCGCCTGTTTGAAGTTTCATCTTCTTGGCTATCAGCCTGTTCTGGAGCCGATGTATCGACTTCGCTTTGCTGTGTACCTGTCGCCGAAGGCGGACTTGGTAGGTGGAGCCCCTGTAGGCCGGTCACCACACGAGGAGGAGGGGCAGGGAGGCTGAGCCCTTGCGAGCTAGCCACAGCACGTGGGGGTTCAGGGAGGTGCAGTCCCTGAGGATTGACAACCGCACGTGGTGGATCTGGAAGTTGCAGTCCTTGAGAAGCAACCGACTTCCGAGGAGGTGCAGGGAGGTGTAATCCCTGAGGATTAGCGATAGCACGTGGAGGATCTGGAAGATGTAGACCCTGAGATTTGGCCACCCTCCGAGGAGGCTTTGGAAAATGAAGCTCAGTGTGCTTCTGAACGGCGGGAGCTACAGCATTGGTGCTGTCTTTCTTCAGTTCAGCCTCAAGTTCCGCCGCAAGTTCCGCCTCAAAGTCAGCCCCAAATTCTGAGCCGAAAAGGTCATCCACATTATCTGTTGGTGCATTGTCACCTCTTGGCGATTCATTCTGTGGGGGCTGGGAGCCGTCACCGAGACCAGAATCATCGACTTCACCAAACAGGGAATCATTTTCATTATCCGCATTGGTGTTGTTTTGATCTGCACCTGGAGTAATCGGTGCAGAAGCAGCATTGTCGCCATGTTTTGGTCTATCAGCCACAAATTCGGGAGTGCGGTTGGCATCTTGTGCTACGACCTTGGATTGATGTTCCTCATTGATCTTTGGAACGCCGTTGTCGTCAGGAGTGCTGTCGCCAAAAAGAGAATCATTGTCATTATTGTCGATGTTCTCCTCTTGCTCTAGCTCAAGGGAGTTTGAAGGATGGTCGTCCGCGGCAACAGATTGAACGTTCGAATTGTTTCCGGTATTTGGCATTGGAGACACAAGTTTGTCGGAATTGTCTTCGCCGAAGAGAGAGTCATCGTTAGGGATGGTCGTGTTTTCTTCCGGTTGAAGCTCAGGCTTGGAAGTTGTTGCAACCAGCTGCCCATTGGTGTTGCCGCTTTCGACATTGGTGCCAGCCTCTTCCTCTCGTCTTGATGACTGCGCTGGTTCTTCAGGGTTAGTCTCATCGACCGTTGGAGGCGCAACAATTTCATTCTTGTAGAAATCTGCCTCTGTTGGATTCCATTCCCAGGTGGCTGGAGGAGGAGAGTTTGTTTCGATTCCCTCTTCCTTGAGGAAGTCGTCCCAGGTGAAGCGGCCATTCGTGTCGTAGGATGACTCTTCTACAGAATCTACGGGAGCGGAAGCAGTCTGATTCTCATTGGAGAAGAATGTCGATGGATCTTCGCCTAAGTAGCTGGCGAGTTGAGATTCCATGTCATCAAGATAGTCTGGGTAAGACATTTTGATGTTTGTTGTGAAGAATGGCTGTGATTTGGCGAGTTAGGTAAAAGCAATGTTAAAACCAAAGAGTAAAGAAGATTCTTGGGTACTGGTGGGTATGTGAAGTTTTATGAAGATTAACTTGTAGAAGTTGTTGATTGATGGATAGTACTCTGGTCAGTTATCTAAGACTTCTTTTGAAGGTTATTAGAATAACTTAAAGAACTTTCTAATGTTTTTTCGAAAAGATGGGTCTCAGGAATTCCTTAAGAATGAATGAAAGTTTACAGGAATAACGCTAGCAGAATCCAAAACATATTATCTACGGCTTCATATTGAGCCTCATTCATTAGGATGTATTGCCATGGCAATGATACTGTAGACATTTAGGAAACGGTTCTCACAAAGTCGTTGTGGCCATTGTTCTACGCGGGTGTTCCTCGGTCGCGGGAAAATGGCCGTATGAGTGCATATTATGGACAGTATCTGTAGGTGAGCATACTGTAGAGTTTTAGATACTGTGCGCCGACGGCTACTGCTCCCATTGTTGAATGGGGCGGTATCTCAAATGCTGTTGGTTAGCACGAATCGTTCAGCATCAATAAGGTCATGGACGCCGGGTAGGCCAGTACTGAGTTGATTTGGAAACCGAATCTCCATTAACTTGAATTTGATGCATAAGTTGTTGCGCCAAACATAACGGGTCGATGAGCGGAGAGGGCCTCTACGCCAAAATGATTGAGTAGATTAGAAATCGAAATCTCGAACTTGTTATATGTGCCGACACCGAGGAGTCGACAAGGGGCAAAGAATAATTTTGAGTGTATTAGCTGTTATCTAATCAACTGACTCTGAATACCTGCGCATGTAATTTTTCTTTTCGAGTATGTCGAAATCTTTTTCTGTTTATATATACAATCGTATGTAATTGAAACTCGCTTCTGGTACTTTCCACCGAATCACAAAGGCTGTATAAAGAAGTACTAAGATATTTAGGGTTATCTCAAATCAACTACATTGGTGTACACTATCTTTCGTGCCAATAGAAGAATCAAAACTTATTCCTGGGCATACTTGTACAGACCATATCAATACAGTAACAACATGAATTACCTGATGATCATCTGAAATAAACGCTTGTAGCTCGCTGCTTTTCCTCCTTTCTTGTATAATGAGAGATGTCGAAGATTAATTCTTCTATTAATTCTTATCTAACATGTTGCACAGATCATACCTCATCTTTAACTCTGTGACTGATTGGCTGGAAACGAGGACAATGAGTGTAAGATACTGCTAGAGGATGAATTTTCGAGGGTTCCTTCCTAAAGGAACTCGGCTAATTAAATACGAGAGGATTGAGCTGGGTGCTTCTCCATTTGAGATGCGTTCTAGGTACCTGTCGTACCTCTTTCCCTTTAGGTTTTTTGCGAAAGAGAAACTCCGCATCCTGATGAATCCATAGAACACAACAATATGAGTCTATAACGTGAATTTGATATAACGGATGCACGTGCACGTGTCTAAGGGGGTACCAGAAACCAACAAGATCCTGGCTTGACAGACTTCATTACGGCCGTCTCGATCTTTTTACTGCGCCTCCTACATATCAATACAAATTCAGGTGCCTATTTTTCCAAGGGACTAGAATCTGATTAAAAACAATGTAATATCATGAATTTCTTATTCCGTGATATACTAATCATCAATAAGGTCGCTGTCTCGGAACAGATAATATTCCAGGGTTCTAAGCGAAATAGGCGAATAACCCACAATTCGATGCGCAGAAAATAAGGAAGGAGCGACAACAGACCACCTAGAAGACTCAATGCATTATATTGTTGAAGAACGACCTGATATAAGAGTTTGTCCGCCTTAAATAGTGTGGGAACCTGCCTTGGTTTGATAGCGGATTTTGCATGATAGCCACACAAGCTCTTCTAGCAAACAACAGACGAGTCATTCATACACAATAGCATTGTACTAACAAACATTCCTCGTTATATATCAAGTGCTGTTGATACTTTAGGCTTTCACTATTGATGAAATTAGCGGAGTGTGGTGCATTTTTCCTCAAAAAGCTGGAGGAAAATTGGAATGCAGACTGCTTGCAATTATCCAAATCTCGCTCTCACGTAGAAATAGCAACTTCTCGGCGATGCCCGCAACAGAATAATAATTGAAGTTGAAAAAAGCTTGACGCACAAAAACGGGAGATGGGAAGAGTGCGTTGCATGCATGAATTTGAGAATTCGATGGGCCTCGTTGTTGTTCCATCTTTTGATGTAATCATTGAAATAGCGGAGCTTGAGATTCAGACTATAGACACGAAAGACATGTTTTATGACCAGTGGCACCTAGCTAATATTTCCCAGGCTTTCGAATGAAGTTTGGGAGATTCTTCTGAGAATATCCAGATTGGATCTTCATCCTGTCAATTTTTTTTGCAAGACTCATTCACATCCTGGGTCAGCCAGGGCTCTTAATACTGCAAGCAATAAATACGATAAAGCACCAACCAAAAAGACAATGATTGTCAGACGCACTTGCTCTGACGGAGCTATGGCATCGAACGTCTTCGATGGATGGTGTAGACACACTTTGACTGTATCTGGAAACACCTTTCTAGGAGTGTTTCTTGGAAAAGGAAGTGAGGAGGTTCTTGTAAGCTGGCACAAAGAAGTGTGAGGGAAAGTTGGCGGGATGGATGAGAGAGACGGCCGCATGCCTGATGTAAGACTGGATATTATAACAGGGAGCATAGGAATGAAATCTCAAATTCACACATGCAATACACCGATACGAATATACTAAGACTGAAGATTTTATTGATGTTCATGAAGCTATGTCCCGTAAATTTCAATCGTACAATTTCTTGCTATACAAATCTTCAATGCAAAATGTGGTATCAACCCAAACGCCACCGCTAAAATTATATTTTTCATGCTCTTGTTAATAATTTATGCACTGAAAGAGGAAATATAGTACTAGTAAACGTTAGAAATGTCAGCAATGATAGAAACTGCAAGCCATACCGTTAAAACAGATTCATCTCCGCCATCATCGTAGTTGTCGAGGTACACATATAAGATCAATGCATGGTCATTGACGAAACCTATAGTCATCAGCAAAAATCATTAACATAGAGATCTTCAATACCCACATGCAATTACTCTTCCACCAAGTCTTCCAACACTAAGTACCTTTCCCCAATCTCTTCCATCTATTCTAACAGTTGACCAAGCATCTGGACCAGCAGCTTTAAGTCTTGTAGCTGGATGATTTTGAATTTCATCATCACCATCCTCCAATTGTCTTGGATCCAATTCCGGATTATTAAGACCTGTCCAAACACTTGAGATATTCAATGCATCTGTTGCAATACTCAACCTTAGACTTCCATGCATATTTGCGCTCAATTCCAACTTAGGTATGTTCCCTCCACTTACTCCCCTAGTTCCGCCGGATGCAGTGGCCATTGCGAGTTTTGTAAAACGTTCCGAGATAGCTTTCAGTTGTATCAATGAAGGTAACATGATATGCGCATCTGGATCCCTAACTCTTGGTTCATGTATTCCCTCGACGCTGTCTGCCGTCAAGATACGTATTGGTATATCTTGAGTGACAATGGCTTCTCTATCTCTTCTTATGTTCGCATCAAGACTTTCTTCCCGGAAACCTTCGCCAAATGGATCTGCTCGTGCACCTTCGCCACCAAGAAAGTTTGCACTCTTTCCGTGCATCATTGTATTTGTAATAACTGTAAGAGATAAGACTGGCATACCATCTCGTTTTGTAAGTCGTATCGAAGCAGATGACGCGTTGATTGCGGATTTTAGAGCGCGATGGAGGGGTGGGAGGGGTAATTCTATATTAATTGTATTATCTGGAGCGGCGGATTGAATTGTGTAGTCTTCAAAGATGGAATCGATCGCGAGAGACCTACTCAAGGTCAGCATTATAACCCAGACTGTGATTGAGGCAATACTTACGCCCAAACTTGAGTTCCTGTCTCAGGAATGATTGTGAATCGTACTCCATTATCGTCAAGACGCACCCAAGCTATTTTACCAAGTGATGACAATGATGCTGTAAGTTCTATAGTTTCGTAAGCTACTAAACTCCTCTGAAGTCTCTGAAGGAATTCCGAAACATTTCACTTACTACTGAACGTTTGAATATTCCTAACAGAAGTCTTGAACCGCATTCTGAATATTTGAAGCTCGCTGTTGCCTTCAACATTTTTGGAAGCTTGGAGCTTCGATAAGGAAGGACCGGATAAGAGATGTGCTTACTAATCATCTAAACTACATTCCTGGTCTTGCCTCCTACAAGCCTCATCCGTCTCACATCGATCAAAAGGGAGCCACAATTTTTCAAAAAAACAATTTTATTTATTCTTGTGAAACTACTTGCAACCGGACCATAGTAGAAATCAAACATGACTATCAATTAGCGGTCGGCTGAGTAAACAGTCGATGTTGACTTCGAATTCACAAGATGTTCGCTGTCTAACTAAGTCTTCGGATGCCATATTACCCTTCGCCATTACACCGTTTAAATAGACGACAAAGTGAAAGTCGGGGAAGACCCCAACTATAAAGACTCGTCAACTACTATTCGAGTATAGTTTCCCTGTTCGCCAATTTCATTACCATGAACCTTTCCTGATACCGTGGTATCTCCAATTACCCCACGTTTCCTCCACATCCATCCACCAGTTCCTTCAATATCTGCCCGCTTAAATTTGTCCATTCTCGGATCTTGACTCCGCCCAGATTCTATTAGTAGCTCCGGGGCTGGCCATGCCAGGAGAGGACAATCTACTGCCACTTGGGACGAATTGTCTGGCCCCAAACCAGTGGCGACCTGGGTTGGCAATTGGCGTAGACGTACGTGAGCCAGAGCCAGAGGACAGTCCAGATTGACCTTGAATAGTGTAGCCGACATACTTCAGTTCATGGGTAGACGATGTTCTTGCCATAGGGCCGACTACACCAAGAGTAGAGAATGAAAGGCCAGGAGAGCTTCTAGCTGTCGAGTTTAGATTATGATTCTCTGGTGATTCTGGCGAAAAAGCACCAGCACTAGGAGAGCTTCTTGCCTCGGCAATTGCGAATCCAGAGTTGCCTGTTGCCAAACGGCGCAAGTCTGTACCAGATCCTGAAGTTGATCGACCATGAGTCAAAGGAGTGAAGGAGAGAGTGGGATCAGTCGCATGACGTCGAGGACGCATAAGTGGCGAGCCTTCGTCCGTGGTAGTTCTCATAGGTGAACGGCCGGGTGTTGGACCAAACGGGGTTGGCGGTTGTATATCAGCACCCAAGAATTCCTCAGAGCCTACGGAATGTCTGGCATGCATTTGTATGCCAGGCGTTGTTGGTGGTAAAACAACACGAGGACGTGGATTTGCAGGACTGTGCTCAGGTCCCATAGGAACAGCAACACCAATGTCTTGACCAGGCATGAATTGTTGAGAATGGCCACCCATGTGGTTCTCGATTGGTTCTGGTGAGTACAGAATTGAATGGTTATTGGCATATTCATAACCATCGGTTGCGTTGCGAGTGTATGGGTAAAAGACAGGAGCGGCGTAAGGAATTCCGTTGGTGCCAACTGGGACAAAGTAGGGGTTTGCCTGTCCGTTGGGACCCATCATAAATGCATTAGGTGGAGGAGCGACAGCATGATGTTCCTCATATCCCAGGTAGACAGGATCTTGTGGGCCACTTGTCATAGAAGCATGAGCAAACCCGTCTCCGTTGTGTCCCATGTAATGGTTTTTAGCTTGGTTGTAGATGGCGTAAGCTGAATAAGCACGATTGTCTTCGCTGGAAGTAGGATAGGTGCGATCAGTTTCATTGTAGATTGGATACATAGGGCCAGCTTCTTGCTGATAGCTGGAAGTGCTCTCACCACGACCATTTTCCCAAATTTGCTCATTTCCACGATCATTCATTGACTCTCGATCTTGCACAGATACGTGATGATTGTCATTGTCATGGTGGCGTCCACCGCGTCCCACATTACGAAAGGTACCGCGCCAATCACCGCTTCCATCACCACGTCTCTGTCCCTGGCCACGACCAAACTGCTGATCACGTCTTCCGCGGCGATTTAGATGCTGCGCGTAACCACCACGCTCGCCATGGTGCTGGTTGCCTCTTCCACGATCAGATCCTCCTCGATGCGAGTTGCCACCACGCCCTGCGTTTCGATCCTGGCTTGGTACCAAAACACCAAATCTAGTATCGGAAGATAGGCCTGGATGTGCCTCGCCGATGACATCTGATTTATTGGATGTTGAGTACATGGAAGGTGTGTTTGCAACACTCGCATAATAGCTCGGTACTTGGTCGTAGGTCTCACCGTTTGGGTAGACGTGCTGGTGACGCTCACCGGTGTAAGGAATGGTTCGAAAGCCTTTAAAGACATCGATATCATCACCAACAGTGTCGTTATGGCGAATTCGAACCGATTGGATATCCTTAATCGTGGTATCGATCAAAAGAATTTGTTGGTAAAAGGGCTTGGTAGCATCAAATTCGTCGACCAAGTCCTGTAAAATTGTTAGCTAGTGTACGAGATACAAAATGAATTGTACACACCCAAGGGCCGAACTCCAAACAAGTTCCATTATTGTGAGTGATAAGTGATTGAGTGTCCTTTGAGCCAATTCTAGTGTATTGCTGAAAGCTCGTTAGAGTATGATCTGTTTCATGTTGCTTTGATCTAGCTTACCTGAGCTCTACCCTCGGAAGGGGTAGCAGGTCTTCCTTGTACCAACAAACCCCATGAATGGTGTTGTCGCTCTTCAACAATTGGCTTGACAGTAGTCATAGCTGCGGTATTTTTTGAAGAAAGTTATGGTATTCTTTTGGTATTCTTTTGGTTGTTCTCTTCAAAAATCTCACTGATTAAGTAGAAGACAAGTGTTGATGGCAGGATGCGATATTTATTGGCACGCGACCTAATTGAAATCTACTTAGCGGCAGAAACATGAGAGTGCTCTGTGAATCAACTTACATTTATCTTTGAAGATCTGTGATTGTATTGAGTCTCGAAAGAATCTTTTGTAGGTTGCAAGTGAGCAAATGAAAGCAATTTAGAATGTGATTATACGGTAGTGTGAGGCTGTAAGAATTCCAAGATATATTAGTCAATGTTCAATAATGAATTTTAACAATTCAATGGTCTTGCCAATGTCAATAACAGCTGTAATAACAGCTGCAAGATCTTGTGATGTCATGGATTCTTGAGAAGTGATGAAGGAGAAGAAAAGAATTGAACTTACAGCAAGTAAACGAAGAAACAACCACTGGACACACTAGCTGTCTCTTTTCTGTAGAGAGACACTGTCAGTAATCGTTAAGATGAAATCAAGGCATATAGATATGATATTAATAAAATCTTGATAGAGAGATGCGAGTATTTGGAGGGTGGAGGGTTCAAGAAAGGATGTGAGAAGAAGGGGAGGAGTACTTACAATGCCAAGCAAGAAGCAATAATTGAAATCAATCTAAAAGATAGAATAGCAGATAGTCGCACTATTCAACTACTTTTTCTCGCGAAGAAGTGTTAGCCAAGTCCTTGATTCAAAGTAATCTTGAAGTCCTCTGGAGTAAACACTTCAAGACAGTGAGAGACTTGAGGTTTGAATTCCTTCAGAAGATAATAGAAAGTAGTACTTACAAGAAGAAGCAAACAGATTGCAAACCTGTAGCAGGTATCGCCAAGTTTAATCCTACTTTCTTGTTAAGTGTGAAGCAATATTGAGAGGTCTTCCACAACCTTTGAGGTCGGAAATCTGTCGCAGGTTCAGACTTCAATTATTGAAAAGATCTTGGTAAATAGAGGAAAGAAATAGTTCTGTTCTCAAGAAAGAACAAGGAGTAGAGGAGCACTGATTTGGGAAACTGTAGATGCCAATTCTCAGCAAAAGTTGTTGTGTTACTATGTCAAGAAAACATTGCTGTGGTTTCGGGAAAGAAGATGAAAGAAAGGTCGAGAAGGATGGCGGTCAAGATACTTGCTTAGCTGTGTTTATTTCTCGGATTCTGCCGAGTGATTAATTCACAAGCTCAGATTATCTGATTGGTTACTCAAGAGGGCTGGGGACCTAGAGGCAAGGCTGCTTGTGAATTTGCAACAAAAGGTATGAAAGATAACTCGGCTGAAGTGAGGATAAGTATGGCAAGTGGACGAAAGACTTACAATTGACAAAATACCACAACAAAAAGCTCTTAAAATGAGTGACTTCTGAGAGAATTTGATCTATGAAGCTTATAGTTTTCTAACAGCCAGTTGCGCAAGCCTATGATCGACTTCAGAATAAGGTTTTAATGGCGGCAGAAACAGGAATTCAACGTGTGCTCACTCCGCTAAGGGGAAGTAGCCTCGCTTATCCGATTATATGATCAACAACCTCGAAGAGAGTCACGATTTTGGAGGAAAACTTGGTCCGCAGATGGAGTTATCGGTCGTGCGACAATGATATTGTGTTCGTGGCTTCTGTGCTTATATTAGAAGATTCTCGTGGTGTCAGAAACGAACAAATTGGAATCTTGTAGCTCCTGAGTCCGCGGATGGGAATAAGGGATGGCTGACCGATTAGTAGGTCTACTCATTAGAACGCACGATCCGCCATTTCACACGTTCAAATCCATACCAGGAAGCTCTTGCATGCTTGTATTTGAAGCGCAGAGGGCTATGAGACGATTTCCACTTCTGGCACAAAGTTTTGGACTGTATGTAAGTAGTGAGGATAGTGAGCGAAGTGGTTCTTTTATATCCTTACATAGAGAGAGAGATGCGATGTCGGAGAGGTGAGAGGGATTTCGAGCATATATGTGCTTGGCGTGGTACAGCCTTGGATTCGTTGATGGATTCACCGAGTAGTAGTGAAAATGAGTGGGTAAGTCATGATTGAAGTATTTCCGTTGAATACGAAGAATATGGAACTCTACAAGGTAGGAACCAGACGATTAGAATCAGTGTTCCTAGTGAAAATGATATGTTATGGAAGCTAAGACAAAGCTGTTGGTGAATACTCTATACTTAACACGAAGGAGACTCGATGAACGTTCAAAGGTTTAGTAGACAAGTGATAACGATAGCGAAATGGAAGAGGGGGGTTCCTGAACGCGGGACTGGAGGATGGGCACACTGAAAACCTGGATTCTGGAATGTAAAACGATGATTCTGGGTGGATCCGTGGCATTTAAATAGAGACAACATTCTCGGACGATTAGAAAGCAGATATATCGAGCTGTGAGAGTCTACGCTAGGATGGCAACGTGTATACTCTGTATAACAAAACATCGCCAGCAAAGAAGCTCAATCTACCGTTGAGTAAGAGCAATTATGCATATCTGAGTTTCAGTAGAAGAGATAAGCAGCACTAATAGCTCCCAAGCAAATACAAGCAACTGAAGACTGTGAGCGCCAAGAGGTGGAAACATTTAAGCGAGGTAGTTTGAAAGCATACTCATCCATCTAACCATTACGAATTCACTTCTTTTGGAATGTGAAGTTCATTAAGTTGGCCAGTTATGAATAGTCGTCATAGACAAATAAGGGGTTTGAAAAGGGAAGAGATAGGGACGAAGAGGTGGTGAATATGTTACAGGGTCTAAGGAACATTTTCGTTGGCATGCGCCGACTTTCATCTGAAAATGCAACACTGTCACCAATATTCCCACATGAGGGAATTTCTGGGAGCTGTAAATGCCCTATTGATTATTATTTTCGTGCCTGATAATCTGATTTGTGTGGCAATTCGGTTGGCGTTCAAATTTCGCGGCAAATTTCGTCTCTTCTACAACTTGGTAGTATATTTAAGACAGTGGGATTATGATAAGTGTGAAAATTTCGAGTGAGCATAGAAGAGAGACAGATTTTTAAATTATTGTACGATAGGTAGATGAGTTGAGAAAAATGGTCAATTTGTGCAAATTATGTAGAGAATGCTTGGATTTTAGTTTGATGGTGAATATGATTATTTATTATATTTATTTGGGAAGTCTACATGTAATTTACGAACGTCAAAAAATAGAACGCCCGAAACAAGGAATTATGGCACAATGTAGAATACGAAATGTTAGACTAGACTGACCGATGACTAAACATGAGAAAAGAAAAAAGATCAAGCAGGACTAACTTCCAACCGATCCGTTATCACAACATAATTTCCCCTTCTCATCACTCGCTTCAACTCACCAACATCATCCGCGATCAGTTGCTGCAAAGCTGTGCATGCTCGCCTGAGTCTTGCACGTGTACCGTGTCTGAGTTCTTGACGGCTTCCAAGACCTGGAGCAAAGCAACGAGGACCGAAGTCTGCGTCTGCATCAGAGATATTGCGTGAGACATAGCGTAGCAAAGGCATCTCAGGTTTATTGAGTGGTGTTCGTTCCTGGGGATGAATGGATCGAAGGGATGGATTAGGGGTTGCTAGTATTTATATCGAGGGTTAGGCATTGTTTTGGGTTGAGAAAATAATGGATTATTGTTGTTCAGAATTTTTAGTTGAGAAGTGGGCATTGTTTTGAAATAGGAAACAATGCGTTGTTGTTGCTTAGTGTCAAGAGAAACAGCAGCCCAAAATATGATGGAGGAGATAGTAACTCAAGTGATCTTAATCTACTAGGCTTGAGCTTCTTGGGAGCAATAAAAATCTGCAAATGATTGGAGTTGAGGAAAGATGCGAAATTGACAAAGGGTTTCCATAGAACCCAAGCGAGAAGTCAGGGGTAACTTGGCCGTTGGAGCACCACAAGTTGACAGCAAGTTGCTCCAATTATTAGATTTGCAATAACACGGCGTGACATGATAAATTCTTCACGGTGTCGAAATCAGGTTCGAAGAATTGCAGCGTAAGCCAAAAAAACAAAAAAACTTACAGCATCGACAAAGTCTCAACAACATCAAGTAGTTCATTAGCTATAGAGCTTTTTATCGCAGAACACCGTCATCTTTCTCGAAAATGTTCCCAATAGTTCGTTCAATACTATGAGCGATTTTAAATATATTCGAGCAACCAGGAAACATTTTCCACGACAAGACAAAGCATCATAGTGACTGAGGACACTCGCACGGCATCCATTATCTGAGAACTTTCTGCTTCCCCCATAGTGATTTTCCAGGCAGCTATATCATATTAAAATATATCCCTCAGCATCAACTCCCATACCACTATGTAAGAAAGTGATTCGAGCGAATACATATTGAAGAACACTAGATTCTCACAGCTTTACTTCCAACAAGCCTCACTATTCCCGGTACATATAATAAGACCTTCTCTGATATTGAACATGGACTCCAAAATTGACCGCGATCCTGCCATTCAGAAATCCGACGATTTGAATATGCAGATACTTACACCACAGACGCTTCATAGGGCTACAAGAAAAACAAGGAGAGCAAAGCTAAAAAGAACAATGAACGCCAATAACCACAATATGCAAAGGATTCAAATAAGTAAGCGAAAATAACACAGAATCGCAAGGTTTACCCCAGATCTAAATTCTTTCTTTACAAATGCAATACGAACAATGATTTGATCGTCTTACCACATTTCAAGTCAGCGATGTACCTGGGTACATCCATCTATTCAACTCATCAAGAACCTCAGGGAAGGCGCAGTCAAAATATACGGCCACATGCCTCACTTCCGAATAGGCACCTATTGAAATACGAGATTTCCTCCGGATCGCGTCAAATCGTATCGAACAAGAGAACATCTGCGGAAATCTAGATCTGCACCAGGATCCAGGAACAAAGTTTTCGAGAAGTATGTCAGATGTCGGGTGTCGAATGTGTAGATAATGATAGTTGGAGCT